TCTCATTTTATCCTCAACTAAAAATTGAATTTGATTAATATGTATACTCGTATATGTTTAAATTATTTGCGTAAAACATAAGAAAAGATATAAGGACATTAAATCACATCCAAGACTATATATATTTGGTGATGCTTGAAAGTTCGATTTAAATGGAAAATATCGTCTACCCCCCTTATTTCAAGTGCTGGAATTAGGGATAATTCACTATCAATTAGAATAATTAATCAATTGCCATTGAACTGTTCCTTGTATAAAAGAAAGATTTTATGACCAAATTACCATGATTCAAATGAATATTGAATTAAGCGGGTGCAAAATATAGGCGGCAATCGAGAGTTAGCGTGCGTAGTTCATTCCAAGTGTGTTAGAAGTCTTGAAAGCCATATATATATATATATATTGACAATGAGAATCTGAAGTATTTTTGAATATCTACATGTATATCGGTGTACAGGTGTTTAAAATCATAATGTTTTTAAACAAAATTAGTCTCCATAAGACCTATGACACGATATGTAAATTTACGACTTCCGGTTTTTTTATTAAAGAAACAGTTCTCTATAATAATGTTGTTAGAGTCTTATCTTTATTAATGCAAGACCGAAACCAAGTCAACTGGGCTAGTTTTTTGATGGATCAAAAGAAAATAACAACAGTAATGAAAGTGAAAAAAATTCATTTATTGAAGTAAATGACGCAAAAAAAAAAATAAATAAAAATAAATAAAAATAAAAATAAAAGATAAAAAAATAAACATATAAAGGGGGTCAAACAAAACTAGAAAAAATTTCGGTACACAAAAATCATTGATATCATATTATGCAATCTGACCCCCTAAAATTAAATATAGCATAAAGCAGGCACTGATATGCCTGCCATCTAAAATGATGGGATTTATCGTGGGTATGGTTGTATAGGGCCTTGAAATGCCGAACATTTTGATGCAATTGAATGTGATTTTCTGAATTCAATTTTTTTAAAAGCTGTTCAATATTTAAGGTATCAAGTTCACTAAAAGTTGCTCAAGATTTAAGATATCCACATGTAATTAACATTTTTTTTTCTAAAAGTTGTTCAATATTTTGGGTATATATTTAAGGTATATGTTATTTACACCAATTCTTGCATTTGTTGCTAAGTACTCCTGAAGATTCTCTTTCACTGCTGTGAATATTTTCGTAGGAGTAAATATTGTCATATTGGCTCGGTAAAAAATTACTAGAACCGGCTATGTATCGATTTTATGATGTTTAGGAATCTAGTTCTGGTATTAATAGTAATTGCATTAGATGAAAAATTACAAATATGTAAAGACAAAAATCTTTTATGAAAATACTGTAAATGAGACACGTATTTAGCGTGTACGTACGATTTTTTTATGGAAACTGATTGGGAACAAGTAAGCAAGTATTTGATTTAACACATTTCAAAATGTCCTTATTTACATAAATATATGAATATATGTGCAATAGAAGATGTTTCTTTCCGTCAAAAGCACTAGCTAGAAATACGTTTACAGCATTTGATCAAAACAAAGAATTTATTTTGATATGAACTGTGTGTTTTTCTTCATTATCAAAGTATTATTAATTCAAGACTCGGTAAGAAAAAAATCAGCACCTATATCCCTAGGGCCCAATGTGTATTAAAAAGACTTTTTTAAATACAAAATTAGAACTATTTCACTTAAATGTATTATATTTTTAAAAATATTCATGGTGTCTTTGGTATTATCTGCATTTAACTCACAATTTATCTGCATTTTAATTCCCATATGATACAGGCCCTGGAGATTGGACCTATATCATATGGAAATTAAATATCTAAAAATTCTTTGCTAAACTTATAAAGTACTGTGGTGTAAAGTGTTTCTATTCTAAGTATAGTATTACTATGCGCTTTCTATTTCTCTAGAGATACGATTTGTGAGATACACTTACGAGGGTTGATCAAGAAATTAGTACACGAGTTTTATTTTGTACATTTTGTAAGAAGGATATGGAGATGACGAACAGTATTCAATATCAAAGTTCATAAAACAATACAAAATAGGAGCAGAGCAAACACGGACCTCCAAAACATCAGAGGTGGAATCAAGTGCAATGGAGGAGTAAGCATCCCCTGCTGACCGGTCACACCCGCCGTGTGCTCCTTGTCATGATCAGGAATAGACGGAAAAATCCAGTATTCAATATCAAAGTTCATAAAACAATACAAAATAGGAGCAGAGCAAACACGGTCGTCAATTCAGTGTACACCCGCCGTGTGCTCCTTGTCAATATGGAATGGACTAACAATTGGTATGAAAAGCGTCAGTCAGCATTTGACTCAATGATAAATTGCATTTGCTGACAAGGTCATTGTATCGACCATAGAACTTACGAAATAATGAGTTTAAACAAGACTGCTGATATTCTTGTTTCGTAAACTTGTAAATTGCTTACAGTGGAAACTAAGATATTTTCAAAAAACATTAGCATCTTTTAATAATGTAATTTATGGTGTATTCAGCCATTGTATTCTCTAGATAAAAACCTTTTTGTCAACAGAGATTGAACAAGTCTAAAGGTAAATGTTTATCATGTTACGAAGAATTAGAATTTTTTTGTTTTGAACATATTTCATTGAAATAAATCAAATTGATCGGAAACAAGTTCTTTCAACTTACGATTTCCTCTCCTTAAAATAACTATAACTGTATGTCATGCAGTTAAAACGCAGGTAGTACATAGAAATATAAATTCAAATTAGTGATACAGGTGAAATACTCATTTGTTCAGTAACATAATAAAGGTAACAATTTATTTTAATTATATTGTGATGAAACCTGGTTCATTTATACATATGTACTGGACTTCAATCACGCTCGGCAAAAGTTGTACATGGAAAAATTAAAATAAATTTCTTATATTGTATACCTAGTAATTGTAATGATAAAAAGGTGATATCATAAACTCCTGCCTTTTCTTCGTACAAAATATTAATTTGATATTCTTCTTTATGTAACGTATGGTATAAATGAACTTGTTATAATGTAAAATGAATCATTACAAGATCTAGAGGAAGTACAGAAGTTATTTGGTAATGTTCATCAATCTTCAAGAGTTAATTTATCCAAGAAATTTAACGGGTTTTAATGTTGCGAATTTTTGCAATTGTTTTCACGCAACCTAAAATTTGGCAGAAAAAAATTTCCATCTCCACCAATATATTTTTAAAAATTACACAAAGAAAGGACAGATTTTGTTGGTTTACATAATAAATGTATGCAAACGGATACAGCTGAATTTCTTTATAGTGTAGTGTTTTATTCAATTTGTGCTTGAATATCTAACTCATTATATTTTACTCTAAACTAAATATCGTTATATTTTGTGTATTCTTTGATTATTTTTATTGTATTGTGTATTCTTCGATTATCTTTTTTTTGTAAAGTTTGGGGAAAAACGCACTCTATGCACTTTTATTGTAAAATTAAGTTTTTTCTGTTCTACCTTTTCTGTTTGATACAATGTATACACATATATAATTTATATCTCTTGTAATACGTTTATTGTTTCAAATGAATTAATGGAAAAAGAACCCCGAGAATTATCCCTTTTTTGTATATTCGATGATAAATAGATGTTAACCACGTTTCGATCGACATGATAACCGATTTCTAAACGGCAGACAAAACGATTTACCTAAATAAATAATTTAAGTCTTTTGTCTGAAACTCGGGTTTCTGATATTGATATAAATAGGTTAAGATCACCTCAAGTTAGAGAACTCTAGGATCAAAGTGTTGGAGGTATTATTAAGTGTGTAAATAAAGAAATGCATGTCATACAAAGCAGTCTGTTTTTAAATATTATTCCAGATTGGAAAAACAAACAAAATCAAATAATAATTGCAATGTATTACTCAGGAGTACTTACTTGGAAGATACTCGATTGACCAGTGAAAATTGAAAATGTTGACAAAGTTTTATACAATCAGAGGATAGTAAAATTTTAACTTTGCTATAGATTTTTAAAATTTTTAGTCCTTAACTTGAAAAATTTCTTTGAAAATATTTTTTTTCTGAACTCCAACACATTAACAATATTTGGTAATATTCGGTAATATGCAGTAAGCTGTCATTTTTAAAATACATTATACAACAATGATGTTAAGAAACTGGAAATCCAACCATACTTGTGTTTTCCACTTCATAAGAATTTATGTTCACAATTTTCCAAATTAAGAGTGATTGCACATAATTTGTATGTTGAAACAGGTAGATATTGTAATCCTGTCATTCCTAAAGAAAAACAGTTTGTTTCCATTGTAAAACTATTGAAGATGAAACACTTTTTACTTGATTGTCTTTGGTTAAGGATATATGATACAAACAAAAAATGGATGCCTGGATCGGTATATTTTTTTGTGTGCTGGTTTCATTGCAAATGATGCAAATATCAAATCAATTTCTATGATATTATAATATAAAGAAATTGTAAACATTCTGTGATGTAAAAAAGTCTGCCCTTGTGAAACCATCCTTATTAATCTATACAAATATTTTTTTTCACTTTTAATCTCATTTCTGTGAAATTTAGAATAAAAAATTAAAAACTACCGGTGAGACTTATTCATTTTGACCGAAGTTGCTTTTTTCAATTTTTTGACATAAGTTTGTTTGTATCGTCTGTCATTAAAGAAGCAGAAAAAATATTCAAGGTTACTACATGTAGATGTAAATATGTTATCTTGTTTGCTTAATCCACATAACTTTGTATCTACATAACAAATCTGACTATAAATCAGAGCCTGTTTTAATACTGGAAACAAGCTTGCTACTGTTTTTAATATTTAAGAAATAAATGACTAAAACACATTTCTGTATTATATCTGCTGTGGTGCAAATAAAGAATTAAATTGAATCAAAGTAAATGAAAATATTTACGGACTATATCCGCCATCTAGTTCATACTAAGGATTATCAAACAAAATCTTTCATTAATTATAAAAAATAGATTTACTCATTTTTATTTTACAAAACAATAAATAATGATACAAAATTACAATATGTGAGCACAAATAACTTTTTAACTCGACAATTTTTGTTTTAATTTCGGTAACATATGTAACGATGTTAATCTATGGAAAATTCTCATCAATTTCAGTTTGCCAGGCAAGATCAACACATTTGTATCGTTCACTTATCGTCAACAATATTCCCTCAGGGGGAATAAAGAGAACAATTGCCATTAATCGATTGAATGTAATGGTCACTTGGCAGTCGCCATATTTATCGCTCAATGCACAAGAGCAAATGTCTGCAGACGACGTACAACAGACGATCACTGCTGAGAGGGAAACTTGCATTAAGCAGATTCGTGCTAGAAGCTCATGAGAATTTCAATGCACAATATCAAAAATTAAATTAATGCATCCGGGAATTGCTTTTGATTTCTACTGACGAATCTATGACACCATTGTACAGAGAAATTAACCTAAGTGATGGTCAATAGATAATATTGATTTGCTCCAAGGACACTTAAACACAATAAAAGCATGACATTATCCAGTGTTCAGCGACAATATGAGACATCACAGCCATTTTAAAAAATCTCTGCCTCTGCACATATCTCTGGAACCTCGAACACAGAGTTATCCAAAATTTGTCTCTGAATATTTGTAAACGTAACTGTCTCAGGAGAATATTCCCTATCTCCCATACTCCGTGCTCGATCAGTGTCTTTCCACCAGAGAAAATAGCATGTTTCTCCTTCGGAAACCACTCCATATTCTCGCTCAAACACTCGATCATAGTCCGAAATGTCTGCCTTGTACACGTGCACACGGGTAAAAATCGTGCCATTTCTCGTAATTATTTCCCTTTGGAAAACTGCATTATCTGACAAACACATTTTTTCAAATGTAATAGAAAGTGATCTCATATAGCAATTGTCTCCAACAGTGTATTCAGTTCCAGAGGAGTAGTTAGTTAGTATTCTTAACTGAAAATCTCCTGATTCAGATCTCATAAAGGTACAATTCCTATCTTCATCATAATAATATGTTCTATGATCCTAAATAAAAGAAGACGTAAAAATGTCATGTTTTAAATAATACAATATAAAGAACTGTTTCTTCCCTTCTTGTAAAAATATATTTTGAATTGTTTTCTATGTCAAATCTGTGGTTTCTTTATGAACATATAGCTTGTATTTTATTTTAAAAAGTCTAAATGAGCAGAAAGCATTAAAATTTATGAAAAAAGAAGACACCAAAATCTTAATACATGCACTCTTATAAAAACCAGCAAATTATAGGTTGAGGTACTCACCGTGTAGTAAAATTTTTCTCCTCCAAATTCCTCGTATCCTTTAACTGTCATATCAAACTGGATCTGCCTAGGAAGACAACACGGCTTGACAAATTGTAAAGCCGAAACCAGGGCCACGAGGCACCAGAATTTCGACATTCTTCACAATAAGCCGATTTACCTTTCTACATTTCTGCTACATTTTTCAACTACATCCTCCCTGAAAGAAGCCGGCCTCGAAAATCGACCAGAGTCGATACTGTCAGACACTATAATAGGCCGTTTCCTTTTTCTGCTTATTACACTGAGCAGGCTATTACAATAATGAAGAATTTGCGGTTTATATACTCCAATAATTCCGAGTATCAGTAATGGGAACTTATGGGAATCGACTGTCACAAGTCAGGTTAAACGCTTAAATAATGATTTCAATGACTAGATTTTCCCCCACTCTATAAAAAGAAACAAATTTCGACTTCTTATCTTCGGTTACATGTCTCTATTTTTGAAAAAAGTTGGAAGAAAGTTATGTCTTCATCACATAATCGTGAAAGGAGTGTCAAAGAGAAATGTTCTACGAGACGTGATTAGGTATAAGACGTGAAGGGATAATATCTATGGAAACGATAAAAAATAGTTGCTATGTGTGCATACGCAGTTTTTTTTCGTTCTTGTATTATCTACGGCGTTGTATATTCTCCATTTCTTTTATAAAAGATATGAGTAATATGCTGTTTGTAATTTGATTCTCTAAGTCATTGATTTGGACTCCATATCAAAATACAAAGAACAAGTACATTCATTTGCAAGACTATAACTGACAATCATCAACGAAGTTGCAAGGGTTTACAGTAATTTTTTCACCAATGTGCGTGCCTTACGTCCTTAACGATATATAATGGTCTGCAATTTGGCCTGTTAAATTTTAAAGAGGTACAGTGTAGTATACACAGAGGACAGAATTCTCTTTAAGGTTAGAAGTTGAAAATCTATATCGGAGTTGTTAAATAACTAATGTACTCTACATAATCATATATAAACTGCCATCTGGTATTAAGTATTAGATTTGGAAAAGAGTTAGTAGGTAAGTCAATGCAAGGTATCTATATATACATATAATTTTAATTGTTGTACCATTTAGTTTAAGATTGTGTTTACTCATCCAACTTGAAATAACAGACTCCAAAGAAGCTGATGCATGTTCTTCATACTTGAATTCAAGACTGTTGGCAATTCAAAATCGAAACTGTATGACAAGAAGTGGGACAGCAACTTCTTAATCTTTAGAGTATAATATTAACATTTTTTTAAAACTGAAGCAGAATATTGCCAAAAAAGTTTACATGACAGAGCTTTGAAAACTTGTATAATGACAACATTTAGAAAATTCTATTGTCATTCTAACGACTTTCATATCCTTTTAAAAACGTAGTTTGACTGACATGTTTCAAATGAAAAAGATGAAGAAAACAATCTCTATCTCATAATTCTGCAAACTTTGCAAAACATGACCAGGACCCAAAAAACCCTGTACCCTGGAATAAGGTGCGTAGGAGAAAATGACCGGTCATGGTCGTTGTATTGATCTAGTAAATGAAGTAATCCCTATTGATATATACATAATCACCACGCAATTAGTAGGAAACCTGCCAGTCAATATACGCGACCCAACTAAACGTTGTACTTTCCAATAAGATCCCACCCTTTTTGATGACAGGCATATCAGTGCCTACTTTATACTATACTTAATTTTAGGGGGTCAGATTGCATAATATGATACCAAAGTTTTTTTTGTATTCTTTTGAAGTTTTTTCTAGTCTTGTCTGACCCCCTTATAATATGTTTATATTTTTGTTTTGCGTCATTTACTTCAATAAATGACATTTTTTCACTTTCACTACTGTTGTTATTTTATTTTTAATCCATCAAAAAACTAGCTCAGTTGACTTGGCTTCGGTCAACAGAGGAACATAAAGATTATTTCAACGACCATAGAATGTGCTTTAAAATGCTTGTAGAAAACAGTACAGCATACATTTCTCTAGAATGTTTCAGTTTTACACTTTTTCTCCAAAAAAAAAAAAAAAAAAAAAAAAAAAAAAAAAAAAAAAAAAAAAGATTAATATTGAAAATCTTGAAATCTTGACAATTGCTTTGCATTTCCGTAAATAAGGATACATATATCCTTTTAATTCCTATTTAAAGGATGAGATAATTTTAAATAACGTTTTAGTTATTATATAAATACTTTTGAGATTGAATTCGAGAGCCGATATCTATATTGGATTTTAAAACTTTAAAAAGATACATGTACATTGAATGATCAACTAAATGTGTCACAAAGCCCATATTTTTATCAAACAGACACACACACACACCCTCTCCCCAAACACACACAAAACCAATAAAAAGAGAAAAAACTTAAGACATTGTGTTACAACATAAAAAAGTGATTTATATAAATGTTGAATTATCAAAGCTGTCAAAGAACATTCAGAAACATGAAAATCCAAATTTTTAAGAAAAAAAAAATCAAAGTTGCTTCTTGCGATTTACCGGTATTTCTTCAAAACCATTTTTAACACAGGAAGAAGTGATTCGCATGAATTTTATATTAAATTCTCATGAATAGCATGTGCATTCTTGGCAAGAGAATGACGAAAAACAAGATACATAAAATACATGTGAAAAATCAATGGGATTAACGAACAGTACCCAGGCTCAAAAGTCCACAAAACAATACGAATTAGGAGCAGAGTAAAAACGGACCTCCAAAACATGAGGTGGAATCAGGTGCCATGGAGAAGTGAGCATCCCCTACCGACCAATCACCCACCGCGTGCTCCATATGAAGATAAAATAGGTCTGCAATTCGAGTATATTTTGATGTCAACTTCAGAGTACAACCTCTGAACAAAATAATTTTCCAATTGACCGATGACAAGGTTAGAAAATTTACGAAGTGCATTTAAAAAAAAAGCAACTGTCAATAATGGACTTTAATTTATCGTTCGAATGGTTGTGTATAAAGTGAAAAGTCGTATAAGTTTTAAAGCTGTTGAATTTGGTAAAATCTTGTGATTACGAATTTTCCAAAAGTTCCTTGGAATTTTTTAAGTATCCACATCTAATTTAACCGTTTTTCAAATATATTGTTGCACAGTATTCTTGGCATTTTTCTCCTTCACTACTGTTAAAATCTTAGTGAGGAGTAAGGAAAGAGGCTTGGTTGAACACTTACTAGAACCCACCACATATTTTTATTTATAAGGATTTTTTATGAAGTTTCGGAATCCAATATACATATGGTATTATTCAATTTGGTTGTAGGATTTGAAGAACCAATCTGTACGTTAACTTTGTGTATATGAGAGTATACTTCGTTAATAGTAATGGCATAGGGGTTGTAAAGTTTACATAAGAAGGATATGGAGATAACGAAAAGCATTCAATATCAAAGTCCATAAAACAATACAAAATAGGAGAAGAGCAAACACGGACCTCCGAAACATCACAGGTGAACTCAGGTGCCATGGAGGAGTGAGCATACCCTGTTGACCGGTCACACTAGCCGCGTGCTCCTTGTCATGATCGGGAAATCGGACAATCCGTCGTCAATTCAGTGTATAACTAATGGACAAACAATTAGTATGAAAAACGTCAGTCAGCATTTGTCTCAATGATAAATTGTATTTGCTGACAAGGTCATCGACCATAGAATTTACGAAATGATGACTTTAAACGAGACTGCTGATATTCTTGTTTCATCAACTTGCTTGTCAATAATTTATCTCAATTTAGAAATTGTTCATACGTAGATAATGCTCTTGCGTATCGAATGAAGTGAGATATATATAAACTCCGTATGAAGGTGATGAAGGTATATTGCTGCATAAGTGAGGGAAGTTGACGATAGAAAAGTTTAAGTTATCACGTTTATTATATAGCTTGGTTGTTAGAATACCATTAACGTCTTTTTCAAGTAAAATATCCAGGTATGAAATGTCAGACTCTGTGGTATGGTATCTTTTATCTCAAGCTCACAAGGATATATCATATCGACGTCGGAATGGAAATGACCATTGTTAATTGACAATACCTCGTCGATATATATAAATGTCGAGTTGAAGGCCACAGCAAGTGTTTTCTTCTTTTCACGCATAAGATTTTGCACAAATTCTGCTTCATATGAATATCAAAATAGGTCTGCTAACAACGGAGCGCAATTGGTACCCATGGGAATTCCAATAGATTGTTGGAATACCTGATCTTTAAAAACCACATAGATATTATCAATCAGAAACTCAAGCACATCTTTGATGTCAACTTCAGAGTACCTGTGTGTACAATCCGAATGTGTTTAAACAAAATAATTTGGCAAATGACCAATGACCAGGTAATTAACTTTTCGAGTTCCATTTTTTAATTTATCATGGAGAATGGTTGTGTATAAAGTTGAAAAGTCGTAAGTTTTTAAGATGTTGTTTTTGGTAAATTCTTGTGATTTCAAATTGTCAAAATGTTCTTTGGATTTTTTTTTACTATCCGCATCTGATTCACACCACTTCTTAATATATTGTTGCACGGTACTCTTGAAGTTTTTCCTTCACTTATGTCTATATCTTAGTGAGGAGTAACGAAAGAGGCTTGGTTGAACATTTACTGGAACCCGCAATGTTTCTTTGTTTGTAAGGATTTTTATGAAGTTTCGGAATCCAATAAATATAGGGTAGTTCATATTCATTTTGGCTCTGTGCAATATTGAAAATATTTAAAACTGACATATGATTTTTAAGAAAGGGAAGTATGAGTATGAGTAGGATTACCACTTTTAGAATTAAATCCAAGTTCTTCTAACATACAATTTATATAATGAGCCTTACAAACGAAGACAATGTGGTAACATTTAATTGTAGATTTAGAATTATTCGATGGCACAATTTGGAGTTTCTGATTTACCTAAAATTGCTTTACCTAAAATATATTTTCAGAAGTTCTTTCTCTTTCCTTTAATCATAAACACTGAAAATAAGAAAAAAATCCTTTCATTATTAAATTGAGAAGCACAAAGCTTTTCTAAGAATGTCTCGTACAGCCTCACAAAATCTTGATTACTATTTTATTTCAGCAATTACAGTATTTCAAATATAAATTTGCATTCTTTAAGAGATTAACAGAAAATATTTTTAGTGCAATCATCAGCTTAAACTCATTGGAAAACCGGGAAATCAAAAGAAATTCAAATGATTTCAAGAATAGCATTACTCTACCACTTTAAACGTCAAGTATGTAAAAATAGATGGAGAATATCGAGGGGAAGTTCGTTTAAAAATAGATTGCTAAATAAGTTATTTTGGGAAAACAATTGGTTCACCGCTATATGATCGTTTCATATCAACGTTAACAGTGATATTGCACTTAACGTCTTTTCTTTTTCATGTGGCTCAATTACCAAATATAGTTATTATCTTATATATAGAAGCTCTATTTTTTTCATAATTTCTTTACCATTGTGATTGTTTACCATTGTAGA